TGTACTGGTTGGGACCAATGACGGTTTTATAGTGCTAGCACACAAACACACACACACACACACGCACGTATGCAGGCACGCACACACACATAAAAGATTACAAGCTAGAGTTCGGTTTCAACTCAAATAAAGTATATGTACAGCCTTGTTTGTATCACTCGCGCAGACCAAATTGAGAGCCGCAAGATTCCTATCACGTACGTCATAACATCGATGACCCTTTCAATGCTCCGGTTTGCTTATTGCCACTGCTATTATTGACATAATGCTCATCGTGCATCTGATGCTTCATTTATGTAAAGAGATGTTTTACAATGTAACCATAGAAATGCGAGGTTTTGCAAACACACTGTTATTGATTATAGTTATGGGCCATAGGGTGCCCTATAGTATAACGTGTATTTGTTGTCCGTGCTTTATCCCAGAAGCCAAGAGGAAGTGAGATGAGTGAGTGAGTAGGTGAAGTGCAATGGAGATTTACATCAAGACCATTGCACTTATATAAAGATGCGCGCGCATGTGTGTGTAGCTGTTTGTACTGGTGGGGACCAATGACGGTTTTATAGTGCTAGCACACACACACACACACACACACACACACACGCACGAACGCACGCCCGTATGCGGGCACGCACACAAACATAAAAGATTACAAGCTAGAGTTCGGTTTCAACTCAAATAAGTAAATATATTGTTGCATGGTCTAAACTATATGTACTCGTATTTGGAGGCAAGTGACTTTGGAAATGAATCATGGTGGATTTGTTGTCAGGATGCATGCTTTTTGCTGAAGCATATATAGTGCGATGTAGATTTGGATCAGAGTCTATTACGAAAACACTATGGGACAAAATATCAGGGAGCAGCACAGAGATACGGTTACCGCAGCAGTTTCCTTGAAGTACAATTAACTGAACGAGAGGAAAGAAATCTTTATTTCTGTATAAATTACCACCCAAGACAATAAATAGATCTTAATTGTGCACCACCGGTGGCACCCGTCACAACCACAAGCAATGAACTGTCAATTGTTCATTTGAAAAAAAAAACTGGAAGATATGTTCCTGGTCAAAATAGGGATTTGCATCGAAAATCAAATGACATCGGAAGACAAAACACCGAGGTAAAGACGACAGCAGACATGTTTATTGTTGGTGAGTGAATAATGGTCCAAAGTTATGATGGTAAGCGAGTGGCAGAACGCACTCCAGGATAAAGGGCCTATGTCCACTGTGCGGAGACCCGCTTTGTCTCTTTCACACATGCAGATAGTCGGTTGGCGATTCTTCAACCGTCGATGTAGTTGTTGGTGATGTGGCGGCCGAATCAGACGCCGCGACTATCCGTGCAATCGTCTGGGCGGATCTCTGTCTGACAACGTGGGTCAAGTTTTTAATGTAGATCTTTTATATAGCATGGTGTGAGGTCAGTGTAAGGGTCCTGTCCGGAGGGGGCTTAGGATTAGAAGGAAACGCAGATTGTTTGTTGGACATATTGAACAAAGGAGAACGATTTTCGGTGCACTTTAGAAAAAAAGTGAAACAATTAATTATTTTGGATAGTGAAGTTTTAAAGAAAACTATTGAGTGGTGTCCATAATCACATAAACATAAATCCGGGTGAAACCATAGAGATGATACACACATAACAATATATAACTGTGTGCATAGATTATTGAATTGTGTGAACAGATCCTTAAATTTCAAATAAACCACATCGACAACTATATCATCATTCCATCACATGAGGTTAAACTTTCAAATGAGGATAAATATTCGTTACTGGGCAGCAAATAATAACAAAAGTCGCTGTACAAGTGGGTGAGTTAAAATTAAACGTCGCATCGGCATTATTTCAGCCACATAGCGAGTAAAGACAAATATATCATATCTTCATGACGCAATCAAAAAGTATGAGCAACATGAATATTATGGATCCGAACCACACTGGTTCATGGCCTTGCTGCAGCAGTGAACTGCCATGTTTTTGGCCTGTGTAAAAAATACTTTACAGGCATTGTTACATCAAGCCGACACATTAACATCCGTGTTCATCGTAAGAGGCAGTTAACCTGTGATGGTCAGGCCAGCTGACTCGGCTGATACATGTCATCGTATCCCGTTTGAGTAGGTTGATGCGCATGATGTCAACCACTGGATCGTCTGGTTCAGACTCCATTATTCACATCCCGCCGTCATACAGCTGGAATATTGCTAAGTGGGGCGTCAAACAACAAACACATCTGACTCTCTATCGTGGGACAGTAGTTGGTCTTCTTTTCTATTTGTCTTATAAACCCTAACTTTCAGACTAATATGATATCCGTGAAACGAGGTGCATTCACAAAATCTACTGATTCCATATTTCAGATAATATTTTTTACACTATTCTGGAACCCCGTGACGATCCAGGTTGGAAATGGTCTCAGCAACGCATGCTTGTCATAAGGGTCGACTAACGGAATCGGGCGACTTAGTTGATCGTATCCCAATTGCGTAGATCGATGTTCATGATGTCAATCTCTAGGTTATCTTTTCCAGACTCGATTATGTACAGTCCGATGGAATATTGCTGAGTGTGGTGATAAACCACAAAGAAATACTATTCTGGATAGTGAATTGAAGAGCTTTCACTTTGCCTTGTTCCTTGAAGAACGAACCTTCATGAGGTCCAAACTGTAGTTTAACGGTTATGTGGCCGTTTTTTGTCCAACGTGAAAGGACATATTGTGTAAACTAGCGTACTGTATAACAAATTTGTTTGGCTTTTTCCAATCTTTAAAATCACAACACATCAGTTCAATTCATATTTCAGGGTATGAATGATTATATTTTATTTCCCGCATCATATCCCGTTTTACAATAGCAAGGTGTTCGGAATTCCACCTGATAGAACATGTAATACACGTGTACATACATCTGCAATTACTACTCCCTTGGCAAATATAGAACCAGGCGACTAAATTGCAAATAAAACAGGATGTCATACAAATGTCATTTCTATATATCATGTTAAGTTCTCTAATACATGCAAACATTGCAAAGCACGTGTGTACATGACCATTGACTTGAGGTTTTGTCAGCTCCTTAATTCCGAGTTTGTTCAATGTTTTTGATTCCAGTCCTGTGCCATTATTTGGACTCACGTGAATGTCCGATTAAAACATATTTATTCACAAGGAGTGAACGGGATTGGGGGACAAGTTCTTCCAACTTAGAATGCCCTCTCCCTGGTATTTACAAACGTTTCACAATTTCAAATTCAATATATATGCATATACAGCACTATAGAGAAGACATGAGATGAGAGAGAGAGAGAGAAAGATATATATATATATATATATATATATATATATATATATATATATATACATTGTTGAATGAACAGTTCTTTAACAAATCTTTTAGTTGTACAAATATAATGTTGTACTGCCTTAATATAGCGTCATTTTCTGTAACAACGTGATCTGCATTGCCGTATAACAGTAAGTGTACATCGACAGGTATGTTATGAACAATATTGTAAGGCTGTTTAACATAATTTCACGCTGATGACTAAACAATGTAAACTGACGTCCAAAAGAAACCTTACCAACCGAAAATATAAATTTCAGACAAAGTATTTTTTTTTTCCGATGAAGTCTATCTCAAACACATAACCTAAATACAACAATAGTGTATGCAGAAAATGTTAATCGTCTGTTACATGTTTGCGAGATAACACGCGAAAAAGTGAAACACACGTGCATCACGGACAACTGCAAATGCACGTGCGGGTAAGGGTATAAAATGATTGCCACGGCAATTCAGACATCCACAGTGATAAAAAAAACACAAAAGAAATGCCACGACTCACAGTCGAACGACGTGAGCGAGCCTTGGGTATGGTACAGATGGGAGCCACCCACGCCCATATTGCACGAACCTTCGGTTGCTCCCGCGTTGCCGTTACCAATTTGATGCAACGTTACAGACAGACAGGGCGGACCGCTGACAGGCCAAGAACAGGCTGACCCAGGGTGACCACGCCCCATGATGACCGGTACTTGCGTACCTTGCGTCTCCGAAATCGCTTCCTCACAGTGACGTCATCGGCGACAAATGCCTTAGGTCACAGGGTTAGTCGACTGACAGTGGCCAGGAGACTCAGGGCTCATGGGATCAGGGCTTTCAGACCATACAGAGGACAGCTAATGACAGCGCAACATCGTCGTCTGCGATTGAGATGGGCCCGGGCTGTACGACGTTGGCAACGACGTGACTGGCAGAGGGTTGTCTTCGCTGACGAAAGTCGATTCTCTATGTTTAGGGCTGATGGAAGACAACGTGTTTACCGCCGAAGGGGTGAACGAACGGCGGCGTGTTGCGTGCAGGAGGTCGTACCATATGGTGGAGGGAGTGTCATGGTGTGGGGAGGGTTCTGTGGGCAGGATAGGACACCGCTGGTCATCGTTGACGGAAACTTGAAAGCTCAGCGTTACATGGATAACATTCTTCGTCCAGTTGTCCTACCAATTTATCAGCATGACAACGCTAGAGGCCAGAATTGTCACTAACTTCCTCGCAGCCAACAACGTCAACGTCCTGTCGTGGCCTGCACGCTCACCCGACATGTCCCCCATAGAACACCTCTGGGACTTGATGTATCGTCGTGTTCGACAACGACCACACTCTCCAGCCAACCGGCAAGAACTGATCTTGGCCCTCCAAGAAGAATGGCGTCAAATCCCACGTGACCTCATCAGACGACTGACTTTTTCTGTGCGTCGAAGAGTTTTTGCGTGTATTTGGGCATTTGGTGATCACACATGGTACTAATGACTTGTTATTGAACGTAAGCGATTGTTTATGTACTCTGCCTATTATCCAGGATTATGAAAGCTCGAGTTTTGTACCACACCCAACTTTGGGGGGCTCTGGCGTCATTCTCGGTCGCGGTATGATTGTCATTTTCACTGTTGATTATGTTGATATATTGATCTTCTCAAAACATCTTACTTCATACATGTATGTTTTGTTGTTTTTGAGCACGAGTGATTTCACACTCTGGTAAAGTTTCTTTTGGACGTCAGTTTACATTCCATGAGATATGATGATATGCATTTTCACATGTATTTGAACATGAACAGTTCGGGTGATCTTTTTTTACCAATTCTATATAAATCATAATTCAATTGACTGCACGTGTATGTCAGTTTTGTGTATGAGATATTATTTTTTTTCCATATGCGAGGTACGCAGTCGACGTTGGGTGCTGCTTTTGTAACGAATTTTTAAAACAAGAAATCGTGTAATTTCGATCTGATAACGGAATACAGTTTCACAATCGGATAGACGATGGATTCACACCAATGTCTTAGTCTTGTGAGAGGAACACTGATGTTTTCAGAGTTTCTGAGACTGTATGAGTTTTTTGCAGCAACGGTTTTGGGTAGATAATATGTTAGATAGGAAGAGGCCATGTAATGATTAATTTTGAAGAAGAAAGAAAACAATTCCGATTTGCGTAATGTTTCATCGATTTATCCCTGTTTAATTAATAATTTAATAATTTACGTTTGGAGCTTGAGAGAATTCCTTGCAGTGAATAAAAAAACAAACAACAAAATTCGTTCCATATCCCAATTCCAATGATGAAACGTCCCCATCAAAGACTATCTCCATTATCTCCCGAAAGACATTTATGGGGAATAAAAGGCAACGAAGCGGGAATATTATAGGAACGGATCACTGAAAATCAGTAATGACACTAGGTGATCGCGAAAAGGGAACAAATGTCCTGTCCTACCCGTCACACGCGTCACTCACACTATCTCAAAAACACATAAGAGGAAAGTCACCTCTACATCGGGAAAATATGGGAACATATGACACAAGCCAAAATAGGGAATTGCAACGGTCATCAATTTGGTCATTGATGCCACATGTTGAGAAATGTTTTCCACATGTCTAAAATAAACCTTTATGAACACTTTACCGATGCCTTAGAATTGTATCAATGTGTAATTTATTTATGTCAAGAACATGATTTTTGTACACTGAAATCATACAGGAAGCTATGGGACTTTGACTGTTGAAATATGTATGGTTTTCGCTGTTCAGTGTTGAACCATTCTCTACTGACACTGTTTAAGGTATATTATACTTTTAACTGTCTGAGACGCAGCCGAAAGAGCGAATAATCAACGAACAATAACTCCCATGTAAATAAGAGCAACACAACTATTTTCATAAGTCATTACTACGGTTAAACTGATCTAACTTTAAATATAAAGTCACAGTAGTCAAAATAGTCAAATGGGAAGAATAAAATGGATGGATTCCCCACATGAGAACAGCGTGTGAAGCCCTATTTTTATGTGACCCGCCGTGATATTGCTGGAATATTACTAAAGGTTGTGTCAAATCATTCTCACACACTCCGTCCCTATATTGCAAAATATATAGGGCATTGATGGAAAGTGTTTAAGTATTAAGAAGGACATGTCTTGAGGAGTACAATGACTGGCATGGTGCAAAACATGTTATTTATACCTCTTAACTGAAATGGCACAACAAACTGAGGAAACCTTTACCATAACTGGACGATTAAGACCCTTTTGTGAAAAAGTTCAATCATTGTTTGTTTGATGGTTCAGGATACGCTCGATTAATAATATTGTGGCTTATATACTACTCTAAAGAAGTTAAAGAACACTCGACTCATTTATATTACTGTTAATCTGTCATGGTATAACAGAAGTGTATACTATAGCATGACATGACAGATTAACTGCAGCTGTAGCGATATTAAAGAATCGGATGTTATTTTACTTCTTTTGAATAGTATATTTTAACTGGATTTACCGAAGCAATGAAGGGGACATGAATTGTTACTGTAACGGACTTTAACATTCATGTATCCATTTTCATAGAATAAGCCAATCAATCTTTGTTTATTCGGTATTTTAGGAAATGCTCGATTCCTAATACAGTAAAGGCTACTATAATTCCTGATAGACACATTGTCCAGGCGCTCCGCAAGTTACTCATGTCAACCTTCGTCATTGTGTGTACATGTTCCTCCCGTTTTGTGGTGGACCATTTTCTTGCCCAGGCTTCCAGCATGCCGTTATCATATAGACGAATGAGTCTGGAACAGTCAGGTGTAGTATTTGTAGTACTACTGCTTAAGACTTGGCTTTCATATTGCAGCGTTCATTGAGGGTATAAACGTAAATATCGGTGTGCATGCTGTGGTATTCCGCGCAGCTAATTTATGCAAAGAGTGTCAGCAATATCAACATCATAATCTACTTATTTAATCATAAACACAAACAAATGAAAACAAGAATTACGAAATCAGTGACATCGCTCATTGCAATCAACCAATCAGGAAACACTTGTGCGTTGACTGACGTGGCCCAATTTCTTTTGCGTTTTGGGGAAACAAAAGCGTAAAATAAATTGCTTGGTTAGCCGATCAAATGCCCCGGAATCACTTGCACTTTATTTATTAATTAATATCAATAACCTTCTCTTCAATAAAATAATAAAATATGTTAATCTTTCTTTCAGAAGGGATTATATTCACTCTAGTGAACACATATTGTACAAATTGAAACGAACTGCATAAACGACTATATCCCTTAATAGGATACATTTCTTTCGTCTAAGAGTGTCATTTAAATAAGAAACATTGCGTTTTTAGTACTTACTTGTCTGTAAATAACTCCACAAGAGGTGAATTGACGGGAAAGGGCAGGCTTATATAGTTCGGACCAATGCTGCATTTCATCCTTCGGAGGTTATTAACTGTCTTTTCTATACCACCAGCCGTGAAGGAACTGGTTATGTATGCGTAGTAGCTAGACTGTAGGAGCATCTTAATATGAAGATCCTCATCTAGAGAGTTTTGGATATTTGTGGATCGGGTATCCAACACTTTTGACCAGATTTTCTTACTCACACTATCATTAGAATACTGAAAAGCAATCAGAAAACACATTTATTGGAAATTACCTGATAGAGGTACGTTGGGGTACGTAGCTCATTCCTGACATGAAATTTGAATAACAAAAGTCATTAAGTGGTACATTTGCGGGATTGTTAATCACCTACAGCAGACAAAGGTTGCCATCCATTACCTACTTCAATGTGTGATTTGCTCTACAATACGACAAGGGGGATCCGAAGTAAGCTTAAAGACAATACAATTACACAGCTTACGTTACAACCATGCAACTTACCTTGTAGATATCTTCATAAAGTGATCCTTTAAGAATGATAATTTTGAAGTTATTATTTCCTGCAAGCTCTTCTATCGTATTGAAGGGTATTTTTTCTTTTACCACCGATACAATTGCAACCAGATTACCCGTGTAAACTGCGACAATGGTGATGCAAAACAACCACCAGCTTGCGTAGAAAATGCGTCCAGGTGTTGTCTGTGGAAGATTCAGCGAACCTGTGGAAGCAATTAATTTTTCAAAAGTTAAATATACTACTCAAATATTCATTCACATTACAGTAACTTTCTATGGATAATTTGTAAAAGCAAAGTTAGATCCCTTTCTTTGAACAATGACGCTACAAATGACATGTGGTTTACGTTACAAGGCGTTAATATCATATGGTGGTAGTTTGTTTGTACCCATATGGAAAGAACTGGGCCTGTTTTGTAAAGATCAAAACGCCATGGAGATAAATTGGAATTAGTGTCATTGTACAAACTACAAATTGAGTCCAAGCGCTGACAGCAATAAAGAGTCTTAGTAACATATAGTAGGTTGTTTGCATCATCCTTCATGTTTAAGAGATCGTTGTTTCACGGTTATTGTACTTCAGGAACACTGTGTGTTTTGAATAAAACAGTAACATCAAGCACAAGGCAAAGACAGTATATATTTTAAATTCCATCTAAAGCACATGCAATTTGATCACCTGTTTAACATTAAGCATACCAGTCACATAGATTATGGGTCTTGTTTAAAGGTTTCATGTTTAGATACATGTAACTTAAAAACTGTTGATGTCCTAGTTCTGAAATGTTGGACATATACAAATCTGACACATTTTAATACTTCGTTCATTGGAATTGGACTATTTTAGACAGCAGTTTTGTTGACCCAATACCATCTTAATCGATTGATTGTGGACCATATACCAGACTTCTGGAGAGGCATCAGGAATGATAAATTTCACAACGTTAGACCAACGATAATATAAACTCGTTGGACCAACGTTGACAGACAATGTTGTCCTGCGTACCTTGGTATAGCGGCACAAGGACCGCCGTCATGACACTGTCTGATGTTGATGGTGGACATGCAGGAATCTCCCCGGCCTTGATATGCTCTCCAACACTGTATCGTTCCAGCAATGCATAGAGTCCTATGCACCATGTCATCGTCAGCAGTCCGCATACATACACAGCCCATTTAAATACAGACACCAACAACATCCAATGGTTATCATTATTTGACAGTTTCTTATGGACTACTTCACATTCGGATTGATACATGATATGAGGAAATGCAAAGGCCTTTGTTTTATTCAGGGTGATTCCATAAGGTATGCCAGAAAGGTCGACATCCTGAAAAAAAGACAAGATGAAAATGGCGTAATGTGTAATGTTCCAATGGACCTAGGTTTGCAAACAGTTCGACTCAATATATTCTCTCCTTACATTTCGTGCTACCATGCCAAGAAGACCGCTCCACGATTCGGACAATTCACCCCAGGACTTGTCAGGTGGTTCGATCAGTTCATATCTGAAGTGAAAGTGAAACATCTTGGTCATGGATACTATTAGGTACATCATTTCTTTAAAACATTCATCAAGAATGTCAGTGGACACGACAGGGGACAGGCATCTATATTAATATCATTATATGTGATACTAGTATATTTTAAATAACACATTTGTTTTGCGTAGCTAGGCAATTGATCTTATGGTTGTTTTATAAAATGACAAATGGTAGAAACAATAGTAAAAATAATAGTAATGGTGGTAATGGGTTTATTGTAATACGTACGTAAAATTGAGATATTCGGCAAGGCTGTCGAATAAATCCTTGCAGATATGACTGTACACAATGGAGCCTTTTGTCGAACTTTCTGATTTCTTGCAAAAATTATCCCACTGCAGAAACAAGTTTTATCATAAGAAACATTATCCTCTAATATTAATTCCTTATGTTCGTGTTTAGCGAAATGCATGAGAGATGTTATTTATGGCTTCAGTGAGCGTTTCTCTTTCACTTGAAATGTATCATGTAAATCAGTTTTACTGAAACCTAAGTCGTCAATTGAAATATACACAATGTTAGAATATAGTGAATTTGTTGTTTATGTTATTTAGATCGTGTTGGTTCCTTTACACTTACACTATTATGTGATATAAATGATCAAAAAGCGTTTCAAATATCTGAATGTGGCTGTAGTTATTCACCTCCAAGATGCCAATTTTCAGTTTTCTTCCGTTCAACATATATGCCGTATTGGGAAAGAGAGGAGAAATGAAGGCGGGGTATGTGCCCCCATTATTTGTTAAGTCACCGATTTGCCACCATTTCCGGCCGTTGGACTGCCACAATAGAGTGCTGATTTTCACATCTGAGTTACCAGATATGTTTTTTTCCTAAAAACGATTGAAACAAACCACTTTAGGAGATACAATAATATTCAATATCAGTGTAATAATCATACTCAGTCAATACTGACAATGGTTTCAATCATTTTGTACACGTTGGGTGTCAGATGATTTTAACGTCTCAACGGATATATATTGTTGCTGATTACCTTGACTGCTATTGCTATGTTGTCCAGATCAGCATATACTTCTGTTGATAATGGCGGGTCCACATTCAGAAATAACCATTTCGAAAAATGACGTAGCAGTGTTCCTTGTCCGATTTCCTTGTCTTTTCTCGAAGACTTCAGCAGACAGAAAAAAATCATTAATATACATCATGATAGCGTTTGTATGTTGTGATAAGCCAATTGAACTAACAGGAGAAACCAGTATTTCTACCAAACGAATATCTGAAATAGGTTTATTATATTTGTAAAACGTACTATATTTGTGATGCGTGGCAAGCAGTTGTTGATACCGTCACAAAGGACAACAAAGTTGAACAATTTGCGATAAATGTTGAGTTGGTTCTTCTGGAGAGATTTCTCAACAACGTCGGTCAGACTCTGTTCAAAGGCATGCAAATGGAAGAACATTGCAGTCACGCCATGATGTGTAGTCCAGTCCTCAATAGTGTCATATATGTTTCTTCCTGTTTAGAAATGAAAACGTGAAATGATAACAGGAACACTATAACATGTTGAGTAGGCAAATTTGCCCTTGATTGTGGACGCCAAAAAACATAATCACAGACCATAGATTCAACGATGGTAAGTATGCCTGGCAAATACATTTCTTGAATTTGAAGAAGTAAAGGAAGATTCACTTACCCATATATGAATGACTAACAAAAATCAAAGATGAACCCGGATGAAGAGACATCTTGCTTAATAGGTGATGTACTTCATTTTTTCCATGAATTATTCTGGAAGGTGCTGTGTAATACATTTAAGATGAAAAACATCATGTACATTTGTACCTTGAAAAATTCAATAACAATATATACATCTAGTTTAAATGGATGAGTGAGTTGGATTTTACGCCGCTTTCATCATTCTCCCAGCAATAGCACGGTGAATGTATTTAGGGTGAATGTCACAAGGGTAGTCATATCTGTACTAGTTGCTACTGTGATCTACGTCACGAGTCTTTTACGACTATTTTAATGTATCTTCAGATCAAGATGAGTAAAATATTGACTACATTGTCGTTTAGATAAACTTCATTAATCTTGGGTATCATAAAATCATTTTACAGTAATCACCCATACCACCGTTTTGTGATTCATGTACAGTCACAATGCACCAAACTAATGCACTGTAATGTTAGTGACAATACACAAATTATTTTGAAATTGATTTTCTACAAACCTGTCATGTTCACGAAACGAGTGCAGGACGAACCGACGAAAAGCAGCAAATGACCAACTACATATATGTACATGCGTGCAACGTCCATGGCTCTGGACGTTTATATACCATTTAACTGTAACCTCTATACCATCGTCCAACTGTCGACGTACTGAAGGAAATGAAGGAAAAGTTGGGTTAATTAGATGCTATTATCATTTAAGTTGTATGTTTTATGTACATGGATGGCTGAGTAAATATGAATCCCCCGATAAGCCACATCTCATCGAACTGAGAGAGAAGTCAGCAGATTGTGCATTCGTGGCGAGCTGGCTCGTGCGTTCAATACTTCATCAGTGGCTGGTATAATCTGTTGTGTCTGTTACTCGATTTACACAGCAAGATGTAATGAAACACGTTAACAAGCAGAACCTTTTACAAATATTGACACATTCAGAAACACAACGGCAATAGAGAGATGGATCAATTAAACAGTTATAGAAATGGCAATGAAAGAGTATGCATACTGTATTCCCTAAGGTTAGTGTTGTTCACCATAGTAACCGAAACTATTTCAAATATCTTAATGAAACGAACTACATGACTTCTGGTGGTATGCATCAAAGTAGTTTTGATCGAATACCCATATATGACATTGTGTATGTGTGTTTCAGTTATCTTTAAATGGATGCAGAACTCTTTCCAGAATCTCTTGCATAAAATAGAAAACATTCCTTGTTCTATCGTTACTGAGTGTGTAATGCGTAGATCAGAAAACGACACAGATTTGCAGTGTAAATTGTATGTGTACACAGATTCATGTGATGCCACAATCCACACGGATCAATCGATAAATAACAGGTGTTTTTAACTGCAGACATATTTTATATTCGAAATGAATAAAACCAAACAATTTTTAATATCATGATATGCGTCACCAATAATGAGGTTAAATATTTTATCATATGATGGTCAAAGGTCTTTGTTTATCTGGCCCCGTGGATAGGTTATTGAATTGTAACGATCAAATAGATAAATCAGTTTTAGCAAATACCACGTCATTAGAATGGTATCATACAGTATGGAACCGTTCAGAGGGAAATACTATGTTTTAGGATCAAAAGAACTACATACATATTCTAGTATACCACCAACGTTCGAAGCTTTACCATCGCAGGATCAAATATTTCAAAAACGAAACAAAAGGTGATTTCTTATAAAGAATCATACTGAATGCAGATATATGCTCTTATGTTATGCACATCAATATTTTAAGATGATTATTTCTGGAAAATGACTGGAAAGTAATCGTCGTGGTCATTCAATGTTCAACGAACCTGCATTTATTCAAGGAAAATGGCACAGACGACCCGGTCTTGTCAGTGGAATGAGTCTCTGTACATCCACGTCTTCCTGAGAGAGAAACTAATGTTTGAGGAAAGCCCATATTAATGCTGGTCCTAATGATTACCAAATGTGGTGAAACCAAGGAGCAGAGGTATGGTAATGACAGACATAGAAACATAATCGGGGCGAACCGAGATTCGAACCCATGATCACAGGTACGCGTATGATGCACATAAAACCTACCCACATTGTGTGTAGGTAAGGCAGAATCTACATTGCAATTTGTTCTGGTGAAGTTATAGATTAACCAGACTACAGCTTTATGTTTATCATCCGTGGCACGAGTAATCATAACAGTGTGTTCGCATGGCGTTCTGTTAATAATATTACATTTATTTGATTTGGATACACTTTTACTTATCATTGCTGGATAGCATTTGCAATAGGTGCATTATTTGTCTGTTGAACACATATGATGTGAGATAACTTGAGCACTACATTCCTTCTATTATTGTCGCCATGTTGTATACAAAGTTGCCCGAATGTTTGGCAAATCAAAAAGTGTAATTTGTCGACTGTGGGACAAGTGAGGTCATACGGGCGGAGTTGCAATGAGACATGGGCGTGACAGGCCTAAAATGACAACACCTAGTCAATATCGTCTCATTCCATTAATTTCACTTAGCTACAGATTTAAATCTGCTCCAGCGATCACTTGAGAATTCTGTACAATAACAGGAAGGCGAATTTCAACGTCTACCACTAAAATCCGGCTCTGTGCAGCCCGACCGAAAGCAATGCGCCCTGTGAAGGGGGTCACCCTAACAGCTTACCAAAGACGGCAAAGACTGAGGTGGGCTTGTCAACACGAGGGACGGGCTGTGCGCCAATGGCGTTACACCATGTTTACAGACGAATGAAGGATTTTGCCTACGGATCACAGATGGCAGAAACTGTTGCTGGCGACGAAGCGGCGAGCAGTATGCAAGGGCAACACTTCTGTACCATGCTCGGTATTGCTGCGGAAGTGTCATGGTGTGTGGCGGTTTCACCCATGACAGACAAACTGATTTGGTAATTGTGAATGGACATTTGACTGGCAGGCGATATGTTAAAGAAGTTTTGCGTCCTGTCGTTTTTTCCATTGGCTGGAATTATCGGCAGAAATGTTGAACAGCAACACCTGACCTGACCTCATCGTGCACAGTTCGTCACCGATTATCTCCGAGCCCGCGAAGTCCCCTGATATGTCCCTGATGGAGCATCTTCGGGGTGTTCTCGGGCGGAGAGTGTACGCCATGGACCCAGCACCCAGCACAACACGGTCTTTATATTAAAGCCCCTAACATAGAAATAGCATGTTGATCTAATATCAAAAAAAGTCAAACTTTAACATTGAAAACTGTCTTCCTTATGATCACCACTACTCCAAGTAGGATCATTAGGGATAAATCTGTAATACCTGTGTCAAGTTTTAATCGCTACAGACCAGTCTTAATTTATAAAGAATAATTTGATTAAAACTATTATCAAATGATTAAAATAATCTATGCACAGTACACTTAGGCGGAGTTTTTGATATTTCGAAATTTTGTGAACGATTCCATACAACGACATTTATCATGCAACCTATTCCAGTCAAAAACAGCAGAAGGGAAACTATTATTTTATAATTCAGTGCGACAAAGAGGATTTTGGAGTATGTTGGATAATCTAGTATCATATGTGGGTCATCATCTTTATGTTGGTTCTTTATATTAATACATTCACTAGTCAAGTTCTCTTTATAATTGTATTCATATTATTAATAATATAATTTCTTATAAAAATAAATCCATTGAATTACCATATTTAAAGTCTTAAATATTCCAGATTAGGTCCATAAATTACGTTAATCATCGACATGTTCAGATCAGATAGTTATAATTCACCCTATATGCCACTGATTTCTCAGTAAATTATTGACTGAACAGACTGTGGGAAGATTATTAATTCTGAAAGATTTTATTTTACGTAATATAAAACACCACTTACATATGTTTGCTGGCAGATGATATTATTAGATTTTGATAATATATGTAAAAAGCAAACAACATGAACAGGATGAAGACATTGTTGTGAGATATCTCAATTATTTAATGGTTAAATTCTAATGGCAATGGCGTAATTTCAATACTTCCTCCTTTAGCATGGTATAATATACATTTATGGTATGGAATATATAATCTGTCTTAGATAATTCATTTGGATAATTCATAAACAATGTAATGATTTACATATATCTAGCTTTAAAGATCGATTGTAATATTTGCATATTTTGTTTTACACTTTATGAAAAGAATACTTTGATATTTTTGTTTGGTAAACGAGAATTATTAAATCATATATTAATCTGCATGAACTTCCTTATATCGGGCCCGTGAAGATCCGGGGTAGAATAGGTCTTCAGCAACCCATGCTTGCCATAAAAGGCGACTATGCTTGTCGTAAGAGGCGACTAACGGGATCGGGTGGTCAGGCTCGCTGACTTGGTTGATGCATGTCATCGATCCCAATTGCGTGGGTCGATGCTCATGTTGTCAATCCGTGGATTGTCTGGTCCAGACTGGATTATTTAGAGACCGCCCACATATAGCTGGAATATTGCTGAGTGCGGCGTTAAACAACAAGCAAACAAACAAATCATTATTTCGACCAGACACCCTTACTGGTACACAGGAGATCTGTTTCACGAACTCTTGTCCTGGAGGTTGTCAAATTTAAGCGTGATAATCCATAATATATGTGTAATTATTTTTAGTATAAATGTATAAATAGTTTGGTTGTTGGTGGTGTCAGGATCAGTGTCAAAGAAAGATCATGCAAAAGTTTGTGAAAAGTGTCAAAAGTTTGAAGTGTTACAAAATATGTCTACAGACCCAGATCGCTATATTATTTAATCATTTGACAAGGGTTTAATTGACACTCTGAAATTAAAGAAATAATTAATTATTATCCTGCGAATAAGAAACCACCCACTTTTAATTTTGCTTTTAGTTTGACAGGGATCGGAATTTACTTATTAGTTTATTTGGTCTCATTCTATCTACATACTTAATACATTTGTTTTTTCTTGGTTTGATTACAGACTGAAGTTGATTCATTTTCATCTTCTATTTGTTATCTATTCCCATATCTGATCATGATATTATCATGCATTTAAGGATAATTTTTTAAGTAGCCTCCTTTTGGTGTTCTGTTCTCTATCATCACAGGGTGTTCAAAAAGTTGATTTTTGTACCTGCTCTATTATTTCTTAAATTTCTTGTGATGTTTATTCTTTGTAAATTTTAAGTTTTATTACAAGTTATTTTAAACATTCCACACATTCTCACTTCGTTATTCTTACTGCGCCATACACGATGCAATATTAATCCGTTAAGTTGGTGATGTTTAAAGGAAAAGTGAATGTTCATCTGCCATTTTACAGACTGAATATAGTTATCGTCCCTGAATGTATATTTTAACAACCGAGATATTTGTGAACTATTTTTATTCACATTGTAATTTGTTTGAATGAATCATACCAGGAAACGTGCCTCATGTCTCCTGGACTCACGACACTGCGTGGATCAGCAGACAGCACTGTGACTCGTGAAATAAACGTGACGAGTTCGCCCAAATCTCATTAAAATCCGATCTAAGTTCTCGCTGCCGCGAACTTTGACTGACCACTGTAATAACTAACAAGGATTCGTTATCAGCCAATTAGAAAGCAGCTTTCTCGAGCTTTACGGTACTCGTTTCAACCTGGCGACTTCCATTTCAGACTACGCTTGAAAAATATGTTGACACAGTTCTCGGTTAAAATTTTGAAAACTGAACAAACGAACATTCCGGAATGTCTAATATATGGTTGAGATTGTGTGGCAATGCTTCCCACGTGCTGTGCCACGCCTCCTCTGTTTAAATGTTTATCCCACAGAAGCGAGAGGTAGACGATAATTTTGACGGAATCAGTTGTACGGGCCGTAACTGACGTTCGGAATATCCCGTATAAACGTTTTCGAGGTTGCATGATTAGAAAACACATTCCGACTGTCACTTTCATGATCTGGTAACCGACGCTTTGATTGGTAAGATGAAAGGTCGTTCTTACGTGACCCGTAATGGGATGCTCTCAGATCTTTGTTTACCGATAGCGAGGACTAAGATCTGATTTTAATGAGTTTGATTTCGTCTCGTCACTCGTTACCTGACCGAATAAGCAAAATATGCGGAAGTGTGTTATGTCATGCAGTGGAATTACGACACATATATTCTATCATTTAATATACTCTCACATTGTTTTATCACAACCTCGGCAACATAGGTGTACAATCTTTTTCGGAAATACGTATCTCGCAATACATCACCTTTATACAAAATGATGTTGCTGTGCAAAGGTTTATCATCAATAAACTTCACATAAATGTCATATGCATTTTAATTTGGGATGGTATCTACATGCATTCAATTTTCGTTTATTTAGATTAATTTATAAAAACAATCATCCAGTGTGGACCATCATCAAGTGTCGGCTTCACGTCTGACGTTCATCAGGTTCATACTTCATTTTCAAAAGTAGGATTTTTATTTTGTTGCAGTTTTAGTTCCGTCCGCCGTGATGCAGTCCTCCCAGTCGGGCCAAAATGTCGTCTTCATTCGTTCACAATACTCCACCAAATTTGGGAAAGTTTCTGAAAAAAAGGAACCGAAGGATATTACGTCAGAACGTTACTTTTTCTCTCGATATCACCCGCTCATGTTACATAAATGTTCTTGTAATTCCAATCATAATATAATAATAGTCCATCAGGTTTGTAAACTGTTTATAAAAATCAAAGACCGCCTGTTCTCATCCCCCAACAAACACATGCCACATGAAAAAAAAGATGATATATGTCTCAGAATAGAATGGAACAGACCAATAATATTGTATATATATATAAGGCTTTAAATGGCATTATCAAAGGGTTGAGTCAAAGTGGAGATAACTCCATTTGTGTACCGTTCACGAGTTGTTCCCCTTTGCTTCCTGGACACTGCCAGCAAATCTGACACAACTGCCCAAACAAAGCAGCGTCCGTCTCGCATGGTTGATCGCAGAAAAAGAACTTCTTATCTCCTGAAAATGAAATAGTCACAAACCTGTTGTTAAAGTGAGTTTTATTCATTGACCATTCAGAGGCCCGCATGACCAAGCAAAGCAACTTATTGTCAAGAGTTGCGTCCTTTTTCCTTGGCAGGATGTAATGATCTCGGAGTCAAATGCCGATCCTTGTTTTGTCAACACCGTGACCATGCTAGTTAGTTCGACAAAGTGGTAAACGTCAAAGATCTTCATCCCTTTGGGCTTTCCTTCCGCATCAAACCAACACACTGTGTTACAGTGAGCGACTGAGTATGATTTTACGCCGCTTTTAGCAATATCCAAGCTATATCACGGTGGGGCTTCACGCCAGGAATGGGTTTCACATGTTGTAGCCCTATGGGAATTCAAACCCAGGTCTTAACTACCCTACCGCCCCTTATTGTGTTATACGTGAACACTGTCACTGACTGGTGTCCTCACTTTGAGTTAATCCGGTATTTTACACATTTACCTCCATAAAGGTACACAAGCATATTAAAGTCAATTCTTACAAATTAATACAACAAAAGACAACAATACTAACTTCACAGACTTGCCTATCTAGTTAGTAACGCAAAAGAACGAAGGTGCGAAACTCATGAAATTATAATGCCACACAACACCCATCCATTCTGTTATCAGCCAATCAGGAAACAGCAGTGCTGATGTGGGCGTGGCTCTATTCTTTTTGGTATTTGGAAACACAAACGCAAAAGAATTGCTTGGTTTGCCCAAAATATGGAATTAATTTAAATTTATCTAATGTGAAGTTAAACACAACTCTCTTAACATTCCTTACCTAGGTGGACTGACAATGATCTCAAGTCACCTTCCATGATGTGCAGCACGTCGTCATGAGTGTGCCGGCTGATTCCGTGGACTCTCCTTTGGTTCCGATACACACGTAAACCAAACCAAACAAATAGTTTGCTGAACCTGCCTCCGGACATACTTTTAATAAAGTCCATATTTTCCATTCTGCTCATCCCCATACACCTGTAAAATAACGATCTCCCATCACACGTATATATGACACAGCGAGGATATATTTTCTTATACAACGGCCCGTGAAGATCCGGGTAGAATAGGTCTTAGCCAACCCATGCTTGCCCTAAAAGGCGACTATGCTTGTTGTAAGAGGCGACTAACGGGATCGGGGGGTCAGGCTCGCTGAGGTAGTTGATGCATGTCATCGACCCCAATTGCGTGGATCGATGCTCATGATGTCAATCACTGTATTGTCTGGTCTAGACTCGATTATTAACAGACCGCCGTCATACAGCTGGAACAATGCTGAGTGCGGCGTTCTTCGCACTCGTTGTTCTTCACAACGCACAACGCACAACGCACAACGCGCCGCAGTCGGAAGATTCGATTCAGACTCGAGGGGAGCGAGCCTCGGTTCACGGCTTTGCATCGTAAAGCGCAATACGTTCTTGGCCCACCTAGTACAGGTCAGTTAACAAACAACCTTTGCAGGTGAAATGGACTTCAAGTGTCGAAAGTCCAAATCACCCTTCAGGAGGGCGCTAACCCACACATTTCCATTATTTTTGTTTAAAAATATTTATTCACAAGAAGTGAACGGGATTTGAGGACCCGTTTTTCCAAATTAAATATCCCTGTCCCTGGTACCATACTATTTTCCCTTCCGCACAACCCTTATTGTAATGCTTTAACCCTGAATGAAACAAGTCTAGATTTTTCAAATTAAATGGAGTTGTTTGTTTTTGCCAACATTATATATTTTCAGAGACTAAGGGTTAGTCAACAAGTGACTGTGCGGATTCCAGATAGAAACCAATGGTCGTACTCAAGACGAGTCCTGGATTCGAACCCGCGACTCACGGATCCTGACAGAGCTAAGGGATCGATCATTTTATAGTCCAGGGGACATGGGACCGTTGTCAGAATGAATGTTAACGTGTCACTATTCCAAAACATACTTTATTTTTTCACGGCTTCACAGCATGCGTTCTATTCTCTGGATATATATTTTGAAGAACATGCAGTGAACATGTTTGTTGTTGTTATGAATCCTGAGATGAAACGATTTTTCCACAGTATATTTCTGGTACAATTAAAAACATCTCCAATATTTATTACATTCACACAAAAATTTCATACTGAAAGCAGTTAATGAAACCAACCAGTATAGGTTTTCTTCCGCCATCTTTCGAAACGCATTCGCAATTGCCCGCTGTTCCCCTGTCAGGTGACTGTTGAGGTCAATGTTCAACTTCCGGTTCAGATACTCCACACAGAACTGCGAGTCCTCCACGGCCTTTCCGTCGTATTTCATCCAGGGAATCTTGCCTTTAGACGACTGCGTCACGCTGAAGTCGTTCTGGAATGAGTCTTTAAGATGTAATTGAGTGATGTTTTACGCCGCTTTGAACCGTATATCAGTTATATAATGATCAATAATGATCAAAGGTTTAGGTGCACAGCCATGCACGGTGAATGTGGGCGTCTTGGACGACTGAGACACCCTTTCCTCAAATCTTCAATGATTTTGCAGTAGTACAGTGCATGTGTATGCACGTTATGTTATGCGCGTGGTGTACGTAGTCCTGTGCCTCTTGTACCCTTAAATATGCACTACCGGTTTAACTGCGCCTGGTTTGGAGCGAGTTATGCCCATGCAAGACAACATTAAAACAGAAAGTACCATTTCTGTACCTACATTATATGAAAGTTAAATGCACTTCCCGTTTAAATATGTCTCTTTCTCGGAAACCCAATGCCAGACAACTTTAAAACAGGAATGCCCATGCCTCCAGCTTCCTTAATAAGAAACTTATATGCACTTCCGGTAAAGTGACCTTGACCTCAGTACAGCCAACCGCTTTCTTGATTATTTCTTGTTGAAAACATGGGTATTACCACTTCCGGACAAACAACACAGGGTTGGTTGAGTACACAAAGATGCAGAACTACCTTATGTTAGTGAGTGAGTGAGTTGGGTTTAACGCCACTTTTTACAGTATTCCAGTTATATTGTTGCGTGTCAGCGTAATGTGGGAGGAAATGCCGAAGTGATGCAGGTCTCAGACATTAACCACTTCGGTGAAACCCACGAGCACGGGTATGGTGCTGACAAACCTAGAAACAATCGGGGCGAACCGGGATTCGAACTGACAATCATAGGTTTCTGGCTTGCCCAAGGGACGCAACTCTGCACAGCGAATCGCAGCGCCTTAGACGACTCGGCCATCCAAGTCCCTACTACCTTAAGAATGACCACTCTGGTTATTGTGACCTGTTGATCAAAACCATACCACTTCCTTGCCCCTACCCACTCCTGCTACAAGGATTGCTCCTTGAGTTATTGTGAACTTGGGACATTAGCGTATGACTTTGAGAGTGAATTTGACCTTCAATATCAGTTGCAAGAACTTTTAGGACATACCAATGGGCCACACAGTTCAACAAATATGATGTCCCTTGGTGTAAAAAACACACACTTGTCATACATATATATTCAAATATCATTACAACAGCATGCGTGACGTTTGCTGAAAATAGCACACAAACACGAATGGCCTTAACCGTGACCTTGACCTAACACGTGGTTATCTCAGAACCCTTAGCCATCTCGACCCCGCCCTTAGGAAGACGTATCACGTTTCATTGATCAGCTCTCCTTCTCAAGTAGGGCAGGAACTATTTTCAGGCTTTGGGCTTGACAATGGTCTTGATCTTTGACGTGACATATCGCTGTTAGTCCCACCTCTCAGGGCTATAATGGAGATATAACGTCTCTATGATATCCAAGCACCGCGAGGTTTCAAAAACGATGTTAAATTACGGCAAAACCTTAAAGCATCTCCGTTTACATGTACAGTTACAATAAGTATTTATGCAAAGTCATGGAGTCCGTAAAATACATATTTTCAGGTATTCGTAAATTCACATTTTTTAATCACGTTTTGCCTTTTAGTATATTAAACGAACTGTATTATGTAATTATAAATACTCACCGTGTATTTTATTTTGGTCATTCTAAGAAATGTCTCCAGTTTAACAGCGAAAGGGGATGGACTCGGCGCCCGGGGGCCGTGGAATAATTGGTAAAGAATCACCTTGGCAGCAGAACTGTGGAAAGAAAACTTTCATTAGCCAATATGAAGACAGTTACAAAAAATATTCTTGCTTCAAAAAAAGTTGACAAAATGTACTTGCTTCTCGTTACTCAGCAAATTCCAAATTAATTGAATGGACCTTTTCCAAAGCACACTCTTCAAAAAGAGAAACGCAAGTAGTATGTAGTTCATTGAACCTGACTACACAACAAATCCGGTATATATACTGGATATATGTTATTGGAAACTGTTGGTGGCCTCAAGTCAGTAGCAAGAAGACGCAGCCCCAGGGCGGTCACACGAAATACTGAGTTTAGCGCACCTTTGTGGCCTTATGTGACATGACAATGAACATGTTACATTATGCAGTATCAAGCTTTGACAATTGGCAAGTGTAAGTGTGCTTCAAATATAAGTGTTTTGATGAACAAGAAGTACGCCTTCCAGAATTTGTCGCACGTTTACAATTTTCATATGTACAAGATTGACACTCTTCACTTGCATATGTAGCTCTAAAAATGTTTACTTACTCACTGTTCAAAACTAAATTTGTTTAAACTTATATAAAAACATGCCACGAAGGACAGTAAAATAACTAGACTTATCACAGAAAAAGATATAAAACTAGTACGGCATCATAAAAAAAGGATAGCACTATACATAACAATAACATGATAAAAACGGGTTACAGATCGCCATCCCCTGAAAGTAGATATAGTACTGGGGACCATGGGGACTTACAGTACCTTTGCTACCTGAATGGACCACAGCAGGATTTACATCATCCCTTCAGTGGCTGGCGATTGTACGTAATTTAGCCATCAGTTAAAAGAAACAAATATACTACTTCGAATAAACGTACTTTCAGGATGTGTGTAGAGATGAGAAGATGGGGAAGCGAATAGAGCAAAGAATATGTCACGTTTGTAAACAGGGTTACATTGAAAATGAATATAATTAATTTTATTAGTGGGCATGATCATTTTCGTAAATAGTATATACCCTCGAAATACTATGTCCATCTTCAAAAATTAAATATAATCATGACTCATGATGAGAAATGTCGCTGTATACATTATATACGTCATCCGATGCGCTTATGTTATAGCATCCATGAAGGACAAAGATCTGTATTTACATTCTAAAGTTTGTTCAAGCTGTGTTATGTATATTATTTCATATTATATGTGGACCAAGGTTGCAAATAAAGATATTTTCGCCTAATTTTCTTGTGTAATGTGATAATAATTAGTGAAACTAGTGAATCTATTCCATTATTGATTCATCCCAGTGCCATCCGAGATGACATATGGGATTGAGCTGAACTGATTGCTCTGTGTCATTGTCATGGCCTTAGAAAATGCCTGTTTCACAATGACACACACGTTCACAATTTGCGGGGCCGTTGACAACAAACATCAACTCCGGCTTGAGCGCTTTAACGCCAATCGGTTGAGGAACAGGGTGACCCGGTCACAATGACATAGCATTACCAGGTCACAACTGTGCGATACTCTCCACAAGCCCGTGTATACATTCACCATACTCACTCTATGAAGGTCCAAACTCCAATGAACTCACAAAGTGAAAGTCAATTCTTCTGATTTACTATAGGGGCGGTCGGGTAGCCTAGTGGTTAAAGCGTTCGCTCGTCACGCCGATGACCCGGGTTCGATTCCCGACATGGGTACAATGTGTGAAGCCCATTTCTGGTGTCCCCCGCCGTGATATTGCTGGAATATTGCTAAAAGCGGCGTAAAACACTCACTCACTCACTCACTGATTTATTATATCACTCTTTTTACATCAAATGACGTAGACCTACACAATGATATTTAGTACGTGTGACTTCATGTTGTATCGCGGAATGAAATAGTTCCTCAAAACGAGAGGTGACATGAGCGTGTGTATGCTTAACATGCTCTACAGGAGCAACTTTTATAGTCTCCTTACAACAAAATTATTCAAATTATATCCTCATTGTATGAGGAAGATCTATTAAGAACTGCCTCAGTAAGTCAGTCACAATGACAGCGCGTCGTAATACATTGACATCAAGGACAAGACGTCAAAATGGACGAAACGGGAAACGTGACGGGAGAGATTTCCGAAGCTGTTAATGAACCTGTGGCAATTACAAGTGTTACTCGTCTCATATCAATTGGCCTATCATAGAAAAATGAATGTAAAGATGTTTCCAATAGATACTCGGGTAAATTCGTAGATTGCTGTAGACTGTCAATGTAGTCTAGACACGGAGCGAGTCGATACTACGATACTTTGGATGTGCTTTTCTTCGTTTTGTTCTCTAGGATGGGTTGTAGCGAGGATATCCTTGAACGGGCATGTAGTCAAACTCTCTGCCTTATCCCAATGTATGCTAAAACGCGAAGTTCAATATTAAATGTCCTAAATGACGAGAAACAACGCTTCTGTAGTTATTCGTGCAAGGGTATTCACAGGGATTTCCCCAGGAATGAGCAAGTAGTCCGTCAGTATTTACGTTATTTCAAGAATAAAGTCCCTTGAAAAATGTCCCGTTCATACACTTATGAACTTCAGTTTCGCGGCCATGTGACCGACCTCTCGTCAGTATATCGTGTAACCTTCACATTAAAAAATTATCTAATGATAACACAATAAATGCATACTTGTACCTTACGCCAGCCAATCAGTAGCAGAACATGCCGTGTACACGCATACATCTCTCTAACGGACAAAGACGTCTGTGTGTGGCTGTGGCTGTGGCTGTTGGGGTGGGGGGGTGGGGGGGGTGGGGGTGGGGGGGGGGGTGGGGGGTCTGTCTGTCTGTCTGTCTGTGTCTGTGTGTTTCATGCCTTATGGTGTTTGTGCATGCAGATTCTGCAACTGTCTCTTGTGAATTTTGCATATTTTGCAGAAATATTCAACTGATTACTTCAGGAATGTTGCCAGAAAAAGACTCTATCTCGCTGTCATTGTTATCAGCTGACCGAGTAAAGAAGCTGTGTACCGTTTGTTATCTTCTTTATGGTGGCGCGAAATCGTTTTGTAGATTTTGTAAAAAGTGTAACAATGAGAAAACTGCAGTACACTCATAGAAGGTAACGTGTTACCTGTGCTGCACATATGTCTGTATATTATTGAAATTTGGTACATGTATTCCTACGATAGGGTACAAAACTAATTACATTATCGCTGGCAATAGAAAGAGAAGGTGCAGCATGCAGGCAACTGAAGTCAGTGACATGTAAGATTGAACACCTTTACATCACCTGCCCCGGTGGCTCTGTGGGAAAACAGTCGTCAC